ATAAATTACAGTCACATCTAATAATATTCTAGTGACAGTCTAACGTATGTACGCATATTACGTAACTATTCAGTTATTCGTGTATATCCAGATGACATGGTAATCTTGGCTGTCATGATCCTGGAGGAGATTGGTTCCCACTGCAAGAGAGCCTTCGATGTTATTGGCGAAATTATGATAGTCAATCCTTCCGTGTGCTCGTGGTTGTCGTCTGGGTGACAATATCGGAGTAGATTATTAACTCTCCAGTTGACAGTCTGGAGAGTCCACTTCCATTCCATCTGCTTTCGCAGATTCCCAGCACTTCTATGCCATACCTCCTCATCTCTTTGGGAATCTGGGCAGCCTTGCTAGGTTCATACATGGTGGGGACATTCCATGTCTCCATCCTTACTTTCACTTTCATGGAGAGAAGAGGAGACACATCAACCGACTGGCTTCCCGAAGGCTTTCACCAACTGGCATCATTTCGTCTCTCCCATTCCAGAGAGGAGTAAGTTTGTTTTCATTTTTTATATTTTCTTTGTGTTTTGAAGTTTCTTTAGCGATTGGATTGGTTTTCCGGTGTAGGGTTTCTAGCCCTATGCCCAACCTTCCCTCTTTACTCGGGCTTAGGACCGGCTAGTAACTAGTGAACTAGTTAACCAGGCGAGGTAAGATATGTAAGATACGTAAAATAGTTAAAACCTGATACAATTATGCAACATATTCTAAACCGATAATCTGATAGATAATATAAGAGATAATTTCTTTTCTGAATTATCTCAATATACAATATGAAAATATGCATATACAGCGTAATAAGAAGACGAAAATTATCTGAAACAAGTAGTGATGTGTTAACGTTATACATGTCGAACAATCTGACCGCACATGATTTTGCCGAACTATTTATGTGAAAATTTACGAAAAGGGTTAATGAAGTTGATAGGACACATAGGAATAGGAGGGGGAGAGAAAAAGAAAGAAAAATGTTACTTTTAGTATGAAAATTAAAATCAATACACCACTAAGGTGGGGGGTTTAAATTTACGGGTGGCAAAAGCTTGAATAACTTTAAGCTCTCGGCTATGACAAATTTAATTTTGAATTTAAACCCCCCTACTTTATGTATACAAAAACAATTCGCACTCACGTTGAACCTACCTTGGTGGTGTATTGATTTTAATTTTCATACCAAAAGTAACATTTTTTTTCTTTTTCTCTCCCGTCCTATTTCTTTGAAAACCATTTGGACCATGGTAATAATTTTTTTAAACTGTTATTTTCTACCCCTTCCCCCTCACTTCCTGTGTCACCTTGTTGTCCAATTAAAATAGACGATGAAATGTTCCATATTATTGGCCGCACGAAATCCAAAGCTACTATAAAAAGGGAACAAACTCAGGACGGGTTGCTTCGTTTTCAAGATGATTTTTTGTCTATTTTGTTTGTTATTTGTACTAATACACTACGCCGGGATTATACACGTAAAAATGCACGTTATGCAATATAGCAGTGTGTTCCTACAAGAATTTAACTATATCGATGAAAAGATTGTATACTGCCGAATGGAATCATATATTATAAGTGCATGTCAAATGAAAACTTTAAAAACAATGGTAAGCTTTCATTTCAGTAAATGATTAAGGAAATATTCCGACTGTTGGTGTGATCACGGGCAGTAATTCAGTTCCAATTAATACCAAAATTAAAAAAAATCATCACTATGTGCAAACTTTCGATTAATACATTCAAGATGTAGATTTATCTGCAAACCTCATTTACAATATTAAATTACATTCAATACATATTGATCTCGGTGACTACCAGGACGCGCATTTCGTCCTACTCGGGACTCGTCAACTGGGTGTTGCAGGACCCCCCACGGTGGATCAAACTCAATACCCATCGCTTAAACAGGCAGGGCCTTTTTCACTAACCGAGTAACAAACAGAACAAAACACCATTCCTGGAGTCTTCTGTTAGTCACCAAGATCAACGTTAGATCATGAATCAGCAGTAGGAACAAAGTATCTGCATAGGAGCTCATATGCCAATAGAGGTCGAGCAATTCAGCCCTGTATAACAGCAGGAAATTACAATTATCATAACAAAAACTACACCAATTTCATTTTGAAACAGGCTCCCTGAAATATTACACAACATTGTCACTACAGAATTAAATTCTCCAGAAATTTTAAATTCATTTCTCCTAAAACAGAATTTATGTGACAAGTAATGGTTTTATAAGTCATACAAATCAGATTCCTACGAGTAAGTGTCCTAGTCCAGTAGGAAAGTACACTGAGAATTCCAAATTGTACCACAAATTGTTTGGAATAAAGTGAATTATTATTATTATTATTATTATTATTATTATTATTATTATTATTATTATTATTATTATTATTATTATTATTGGCCACACAAACGTATTGACTTCTAAACAGAAAAACTAGCCAATCATTTTTTATTTCAAATTTCTTTCTTCCACCGTAAATAAATTAGGGGGGAGAAGTGTACCGTGCAATAAACATCAACCTTCTACGTTTCCTATTAACTTCATAAATCCCTTTTTGTAAATTTTCACATAAATAGTTCGACAAGTTCATGTGCGGTCAGATTGTTCGAAATGTATAACGCCAATACATCACGACATGTTTCAGATAATCATCATCTTTTCATTACGCTGTTTATATATATATATATATATATATATATATATATATATATATATATATATATATATATATATATATATATATATGATGTATTGGCGTCATCCTGGAGAGACTAAAGGATACACTGGATTCAAAACTACGACCGGAACAAGAAGGCTTCCGAAGGTACAAATCATGCGCTGAGCAAATTGCTACGCTTCGCATCATCATAGAACAAAGTATAGAATGGTGGTCAACTCTACACCTCAGCTTCATCGACTTTGTAAAGGCATTCGACAGTGTCGACACAGAAGTAATTTCGAAACTGCTCCAACACTATCGAATACCACAAATCTTTATCAACCTCATTCAACAACTATATGATGACGCCACATGCCAAGTAACTCACAATGGGAAGCTCAGTGATGCCTTTCAAGTAAAGACAAAAGTAAAACAAGGCTGTCTACTATCATAGTGGTCGACTGGATCATGCAGCAAACAGTGAGGAGTGAGAAGAGAGGGATACGCTGGACCGTGGAAAAGAACCTAGAAGATTTGGATTTCGCCGATGACTTGTGTCTGATGTCGTACAAACTTGAAGATCTACAGGCAAAAACCAACAAGTTGACAGAAGAGACAATGAAGACGGGACTTGGTTCGGGTGAATGTAGAGAAAACAGAGGTGATGAAGATACCCAACCAATACCACCACCGACAACAACATACTCCAATCACCATGAAGCGGAGAAACTTAAAGGAAGCAGCCTCTTTCACCTACACCTACCTAGGCAGCACTGTTTCAACTACAGGCAGCATACGCACAGATGATGACATCAAAGCCAGGTTCGGGAAGACAGCAAGACAGGCTTTCATTAACCTGAAACCAGTGTGGAGATCTACTACACTCAGCATAAAGCGTGAACAACATCCAGATGTTCAACACTAGTGTCAGTCAAGTCAGTGCTTCTGTATGGTTCAGAGACTTGGCGCGTCACGAAAGGCATTTCCAATAAACTACAGACATTCATCAACAACTGCCTAAGCTGGCTCGCTACTGAAGATCAGATGGATTGCCAGAAAGAATAAGCAACAAGGAACTCTGGCTGGCTGGCAACGAACCAACGAAGCAAGAACCTATCACTCAGCAAATATGTAGAGTGAGAAAGTGGAGATGAATTGGGCATACACTGAGAAGGGCGACTGGGGACATCACGCATCAGGCCAGTTGCTCGAATGGAACCCCGATGGGAAGGGACGAGTTGGGCGTCGGTGCCGAGGGTGACATGGAGGAGATCATGCGAGGAGGAAACGAGAGCTTCTAGACTGTTGTAAAGCTAGGTTCAAAAGATTTCAAAGAACAGAGCGCATTGGAGACATGCTAGTAAAGCCCTATGTTCCATTAGGAACTCAAGGAACAAATAAATAAAATATAAATATTATCTATATCCGTTCGCAAAAAATTTTGAAAATAATTAAAATTTTGTTCTTTATCTTTTCATGATCAATTTTTTCATTAGTTTGTAAAATCTTATTTACAGTAAATTTAAACTAACAAATAATTCATTATCAATCAGTTCTAACACCTTATCACTGTACATGTTATAGTAAATAAAAATTAATAATTACAGAATATAGTTAATCGGAAGACTTTTTCTGCATATAAATAATATTTCTGAAGAGAAGTTAAAAATAAATAGAAAAAAAATTATTCGTAAAGAAATTTGACACCTTGTAATTATTAACAATAAAAATTAAGAATCGATTAAAGCATTCATTGGGTGTGTAAAAATCCCCACCCCCCTTTATTAACTAAATGTATATTATAATGATTTTTATTTGTGCTATTTTAACTTGATAATAATCATAATAATAATAATAATATAGATAATAATTGTATGAAGGTTTCGAAAGAAATAGATGAATAAAGAGAAAATCAATTGTTTACAGTTATAAACTAGGCAGATAACTAATTAAAATCTCAAAAATACTAAATATTCACCTGTGTCAACAGAAATATATATGAGCTTATTATTAGGCTCAATACCTTTTACGCCTAGTTATGATATATATATATATATATATATATATATATATATATATATATATATATATGCTTACATTTTTAGCCTTTATATGCACCTATTTTAAATGCAATTGTAATCTTCTCATCTCACAATAATATATACATTGAGATGTAGAAAGATGTGAAGAAGTCTTATACAATATATATATATATATATATATATATATATATATGTCATGAAATGATTCATTTCTGTTGTATACAACCGTGATAATGATAATGATGATGGCGATGGTGATGATGACGATGATGATGAATATTATTAGAATCTGGTATCAACACAACAATACATCCTTAAAATGATATAATGAATAAATTATAAATATAACTGATATATGCATAATATATTGACATTGACTAATAGAATAACTTAAATTACACTTATCTTTATTACAAAAGCATAAATAACCAACTGATGAACGAGATTCAGTAATACACACTAAATACTTTTCCATTTTCATATTTAAACTTGTTGAACAATTACGTATTAAATGTTTTTGACCATCTAAGAAGGTAAAACAGAAAAAAAATGAAAGTAAAAATACCAACAAATATGTATATAGAATATATTTATAAAATGATTATGATTTATTATTATTATTATTAGTCCCTTGGGTTCCTAGTGGAACATAGGGCTTCAGTAGCACGTCTCCAGTACACTCTGTTCTCAGATCTTTTGAACCTGGTTCCACGACAGCCCACAACCTCTCATTTCCTCCTCACACGACCTCCTCCATGTCACCCTCACCTAGGACGTCCAACTCGTCGCTTCCCATGGGGATTCCACTCGAGCAACTGGCCTGACGCCTGATGTCCTCAGTCGGCCTTCTCAGTGCATGCCCAATCCATCTCCACTTCCTCCTTCTGCATATTTGTTGGGCGATAGGTTCTTGGTTGGTTCGTTCGCAGAGCTCCTTGTTGATTATTCTTTCTGGCAATCCATCTGATCTTAAGTAGCGAGCGTAAGCAGTTATTGATGAATGTCTGTAGTTTATTGGAAATCCCTTTCGTGACGCGCCAAGTCTCCGAGCCATACAAAAGCACTGACTTGACTGAGTTGGTGTTGAAAATCCGTATCTTGTTCCACATGCTGAGTGCAGAAGATCTCCACACTGGTTTCAGGCTAATGAACACCTGTCTTGCTTTTCCGATTCTGACTTTGACGACCTCGTCCGTCCCACCACCTGTAGTTGAAACAGTGCTTCCTAGATAAGTGAACGAGGTTACTTCCTTTAAGTTTCTCCCGTTGATGGTGACTGGAGTTTGTTGTTGTTGTTGTTGATGGTGGTGGTGCGGTATCTTCATCACTTCTGTCTTCTCTATATTCACTTGAAGTCCCGTCTTACAATATTTATTAAACAACCTAAAAGGTTTTTTTAGATAACATACATATGAAACACTTTTGCACTATATTATTTTCTTTATATACATTTTAAACTGTTTACTTCATATAAATTTTAAGCATTTCAAAGAATTTTTTTTTCCTTATGCTAAAGGAGAATCATATACTCAGCTGTAATCATTTATATACAACGAAAATATGATAAAAAATAATTGATCAAAGGAAAATATCACTACAGAGAATTAGGTGAACTTAAAATCTAAACGTTAAGTTAATTACCTGAATTTATTAGGCTTTCATAAAAAAAATTTTTTTTTCTCTTTTTTCGCAAAATAACTATAGAGAAAATGGATACCAGATTACTTTTTAGTCAGTCAAGTACAAACAGTTATCATTATATTTTACTTAGAATAGAATTAAAATATGATACATTTAGTTTAGAGGTAATTATTGAATAAATAAATGAAATACACTCAGTAAACTTATTCATATTTGTGCGGTAGACAAGGAGTCACACCTAGGCTCATCATCATTATCTATCGACATAGGACCATGCATTACTGTGTAGCGGTCTGAGTTGTCACATCTCATATCAGTAATATCAAGTAAAAAGGCAGTGAGGTGCAAGATAAAGATAAGAAAATTCAGTCGAAAAAAATATATATAAAGTACTAAAAAAGAGGAAAGAAGAAGGAGGAAATGGTGAGATTCAGTATGGAGTTAAGATGAGGATAATGTGTGTCTGTGTATACATCTGCGCCAATGACATCGGTTCTGACCTATATCACCTAGAGTCAGTCTCCAACCACTGGTTTCTCTTGTCCCGCCGACCCCAACCACCCAGTCTGCATCGCCCCACATAGCTCAAACAAACAGTCAGAGACTTCATACATTGGTGCCATGTCTGGTCACCTCAGGCCTTTTTCCAGCCTGCACCTATTTCGGCCAACATTGTGTGACCAGGCAATCGATGAGTAGGCACACACAGTAAATGTCCCAACCATCTCAGTCGATGAAGGTTCATAACTTCGTCAACTGACTTACCTGTACTCCCTAAAACTACACACCTGACTTCTGCATTACTCATGTGGTGACACCACAGAATACGGCCTATATTACGAAGGCGACGGTGGTCAAACACCTGAAGACAGCCTTCTCATGTCTTCCATCTTCAATGGTCATGTTTCATAACCATACAGTAGAATACACCGAACTTCTGAGTAGTACACGCCACCCTTAATAGACAAACGGATATATCACGGCGGCGCCAAAGGTGGCGTAAGTTGGCAAAAGCCAGTCGAGCCTTTTGTATCCATGCAGAGATCTCATCGGCCACTGACTCACCAGGGCTGATTCTACTTCCCAGGTAAGTGAAGTGGTCGACGCACTCAACATCTACACTCTCAATTGTTAGCCAAGGCACCGTTGAAGACCAATCGTGTAGAAACAATTTCCATTTCGGTGGTGAGAAACGCATACTAAACATTCTCAAATTCCCACTCAAAGTGTTCAGAAGACTCCGTATCTTGTCAGCGTCTTCACCTAACAGGACTATGTCATCTGCATATTCTAGGTCTAACGAAAATTCACCTCTGATTAGGTCAACATCTGTGTAACTAGGTGACGAGAGGGAAACCTCTATAAGAATATCTATATTAAAAGTGAATAAGAATGGAGAGTGAGCAGCCTTGACGGACACCACTCGATGAGTACAGCTCCTGGACAACTCGCCATAGGCTCTAACATGCCCACAAGTGTTGGAGTAGAGAGCTCTTAATAAGGTCATGTACTTACTCAGCACGCCTTTCATTGAGAGACACTGCCATAAGACTTCTCGATCAACAGAGTCGAATGCCACCTTCAGGTTGAGAAAAACAGATATTGTCGGGTGTCTATAAGCGTATCCGTGTTCCAGAGCCTGGCAAAGAGTGAATATTTGGTCGATACACTCGCGGCCAGGTCTAAAGCCTGCCCACTTGGTTTTCTCGGGCTTGCTGGTCCCGAGCTCCACTCAGGCGTTGTAGAATTATGGAACCAGGAATCTTAGACATTATGTTTGTCAGGCTGATTCCCCTATGGTTATCACAAGAGGACTTCTCGCGTTTCTTGAAGACTGGGATAATCAGTGACAGACCAGTCAGAGGGGATTGTATTTGATTTCCATATACTGGTTAACACATCCGTTAAGCTGCCTAACAGCACTCCACCATCATCCTTGTATACCCCCGGGAGTTAGTCCGTCTGGTCCTGCTGCTCTTCCTCGTTTCAGGTTACCTACCGCTTTCTCAACTTCTCCTAGTGTTGGGGGGCCTACCTCAATGTTCCATTTAGGATCCGACTGGATAGCGGGCAACGCAATGGTGGCTGGAGGCCAGTTAAACTGTTCCTCGAAGTGTTCTACCCATCGTTCCAGTCGTCTCTCCTGCGAATGAATCGCAGATCTGTCCTTCCCCGCTATGGTCTCACTAACAGCAGTTGACCTTTTTCCCCCAGCTTCCTTAATAAGTCTAAATAACTGTCTACTGTTACCGATCACCGTTGCCTTTTCCATCTTTTTAGCCTTCGCTGCTCACCACTGTTCGCGGTCATTGCGTAGACTTTTTCTCAGTCTGCTTTTAAGTTGTGCTCGCTCTTCATTGTACTCAGAGCTTGCAGGGATGCGTTCACGTGCATCCATTAGTTTGGAAGAAGCTGGTGATATCCACTAGCTCTTTTTAGCCACTATTTCGGAGTCGGTTGCGGTCTTCAGCGTTGCTTTTACAGCAGACTGGAGATAACACCAAGCTTCTTCTGGGTGAGTGATAGTGTTCTGTTCGGATAACTGCTGAGCTGCTCAAACCTCAGTAGGTGGAGCGGGGTTCAAACCCGGAAACTCACTGGTTGAAAGTTACCCACCTAAATCAATGAGTCACAGCTCCATGAAGTAATTATTAGATGAGATTTTAATTTCAGGATGGAGATAGATCAGTTATCAAATGATGGCATTAGTCAAAACTATCACATAAAATAAATTTTGTCCTTTTTAATCCAGTAGTGTTCGAATGGACAATTATCCATAGCTATAGATCAATGTAGCTGTGGGTATACAACTGCAGTTCTTGGTTGTATTGTGTTACCTGAGCTGGGTTGTTTAATCGTGGAGCTTTCATCGTCTTTCTAGACATCATCAGCACTAACTTCAGTATGAATTCCTAGAAGTTTGGCATTCATGTCAGTCAACAACTAACGGAGGTATAGACATAGACCCAATCTATCAACCAATGATAAGATGATAAACGACGGAAAGGTCAAGGGTCAAACAGAGGAACAGCCAACAGGAAAATCTATGTAGTCAGTCAATGACACAACAATCAAAGGAAACAACCAATCACAAACCAATTCGTCAGGACAAGCTACTAAATCACTCCCTCATAGAGAGATATTGACAGCTCACTTCATACTGAATTTAGTGCTGATGATGTTGTCTAAAAAGACGATGAAAGCTCCATGAATAAACAACTCAGCTCAGAGAACACAATATAACCAAGACCATCCAGCTGAGCTATAAATATTCTCCACTATTTCAAAAACTGTAGTTCGCTTATTGGAAAGCCTATGATAACGATTACGCAGCACCCATTAATATTATTGTTACCATTACTACTATTATCATTATTCACAAGTCACTGTAAAGTAGTTATAGTGCGTATCGTTAAATGCAACAGGAACTTTAACGGAGTTAATATAGATGTGAAACTTGGACACTGTGATAGAATTTAATTCCATATTAGATTTGTTTATTTCATCTATAACACACAGTGATATAGCATGATTTACTCGATGATGACCTTTCGAGCATAAGCTATTACTGCTCATAATCATATCAATAGAATCACACAGCATTTTCGACATTTGGTTTTTATAGTTACGTCACTTTATATGAGTTGTTTCTATTGGTAGTGAAATTTTCCATATCTCTGGTATAGGTGCTGCATCATTTCCATTATGTGTGTTGGGGGAGTGTTGATTCGATGAACAAAGATTCAGTAATCAATCTCTCTTTCCACCTAATTATATTGAACTTAAGTATAGTGGCTTTAGCCCACCCCATTGCGTGGTTGTGTTATTCCATGCACTACAGTAGCCGAGTACTTTTCTAGATCATTGATCTTACTGAGGTCTGTTATTCTATTTTTAGCTAAATTCCTATGTTCAACTATTCTCACTGACCCCGACCGACTAGTTTCACCTATGTACTTGATCTCACAGTCATTACATGAAATTTGATAAAATTAGATTATTTCGCTGAATTGGTTCTATTGGATTCTTAAGCTAGCTGACAAAGTTTATCTCTGAGTGAGTTTGTAGGTTTAAATGCCACTCCAATTCCAGCTGTGTTGAGGATTCTACGAAAAGTTTCTGATGTACTTTCCTTGCGTGGTAACGCAACGAAGGCTGTGAACTCTGTACTTGTGTTGTCATTATTATTCGTACTTGTGTTACTATTATTATCTTTTAGTTTCTTGTGTACTCGTACGAATTTTTTAATAAACTGTAGATGATAGTTATTAACTACTAATGCACTGACTAGTCAGCTTTCCAGCTCTATTATCTAGACATTTGACTAAACTTGCCTTAACTGACATTGAATGAGATGACTTGAAGTCTAGATACCTAATAGAATGTGTCGGTTTTCTGTAGATGGTTGTGTGATTACATCGATATGATTATGAGCAGTAATAATTTATGCTCAAATAAACAAATCTGATATGGAACTTTAACGAAGATTACCATTACAGGTACTTGTTGAACAACCAGTAACTATATAGTTAATTATGTGTTAAACGTAGGCTAAAACAGTCAATATTTGGAACTTCTAAGGATAGAACACCATCGAATGGAATCGTGATTGACATTCAATAATTGTATCATCATAGAACAGAGTATAGAATGGTAGTTAGCTCTCTAACTCAACTTCATCGACTTTGTGAAGGCATTCGACAGTGTCGACACAAAAGTAATTTGGAAACTGCTCCAACACTATCGAATACCACAAATCTTTATCAACTTCATTCAACTTATTTAATGACACCACAGGCCAAGTAACTCACAATGGGAAGCTCAGTGATGCCTTTCAAATGAAGACAGAAGTAAAACAAGGCTGTCTACTATCATAGTGGTCGACTGGATCATGCAGCAAACAGTGAGGAGTGAGAAGAGAGGGATACGCTGGACCGTGGAAAAGAACCTAGAAGATTTGGATTTCGCCGATGACTTGTGTCTGATGTCGTACAAACTTGAAGATCTACAGGCAAAAACCAACAAGTTGACAGAAGAGACAATGAAGACGGGACTCGATTCAGGTGAACGTAGAGAAGATAGAGGTGATGAAGATACCCAACCAACAACAACAACAACAACAAACACCAATCACCATCAACAGGAGGAATCTAAAGCAAATTGTTCTCTCACACTTCCACTGGCAACATCTTTTCAACTACAAGCGACACAGATGAGGATGTCAAAGCCAGCCAGAATCGGAAAGACAGCAAGACAGGTGTTCATCAATTTGAAACCAGTGTGGAGATCTACTACACTCAGCACAAAGCGTGAACAACATCCAGATTTTCAACACTACTAGTGTCAGTCAAGTCAGTGCTTCTGTGTGATGGTTCAGAGACTTGGCGCGTTACGAAAGGGATCTCCGACTAATTACAAAGATTCATCAACAACTGCCTACGCTCACTCGATACTGAAGATGAGATCAGATGGCCAGAATAGTAAGAATAAGCAAGGAGGAACTCTGGCTCGCTGGCAACGAACCAACGAAGCAAGAACCTGTCACTCAACAAATATGCAGAGTGAGAAAGTGGAGATGAATTGGGCATACAATGAGAAGATCGACTGGGGACATGACGCGCCAGGTCAGGCCGTCGAGTGGAACTCAGATGGGAAACGACGAGTTGGGCGTCCGACGCGAGGATGATATGGAGGAGATGATGTGAGGAAGAAATGAAAGCTTATGGGTGGGCAGTTGTTGAGCCAGATTGAAAAGATTGGAGAGAAGAGAGTGAAGTTGGGACGTGCTACTGAAGCCCTATGTCCCACTAGGAACTCAAGGGATAAACAATAATAATAATAATAAAGGAAAAATTTACATCGTTCTGACTATCCTGTGATTTCAAGACATTATTGACATTCACATGGGTGCAGAAATTTCGCTTTGTAAATCAGCATTTCATGAAACACCAAAAATACTACTAATAGTAAAATTCTATTTCATATGAGATCTCTATTATAATTCGTTCAGGTAGTTTATAAGCCTATGATGTTTCAGGTCTGTTATTTGAATGTCGTTGTAAATTTTTGTACTGATACTTAATGATGATTGATTTTGAAATATAAATCTGGACAATAGTTGTATTTCGTAGTTCATATGATCGCTAGTTCAAATTTTCCTATGGCTTAGATCTTCTTTTCAGATTCAATTATCACCCCTAGTAATAAAATTTAGGCATCAAAATGTATGAACTCTAAAAAGCAATAATAGAAGAATGATTTAGTTGATAACAGATATCAATTATGAATATGAAGTCAATATTTAAAATCTAATTTTTATTCCTATTAAGGATTGTATTCAGATGAAAATTATTTCAAGTTGTCAAGTAACTAGGGTTATTTTCTCTACATAAAAATCTCAAACAAGAATAATTATAATAAAGTAGAAACTGAATCTTACCAAAGCTATCAAGATAAATGTTACTTACACATAATAAATAACATAAAGGCTAAAATCAAATTAACAATTACTCAGAAATAAACAATCAGTTACATAATTACAAGAAAAAAATGAAGTTATTTACCTGGACCTTGAAATGCCCATTTAAAGCAATAATCATTACAATCAACTACAGGAAATGATTTAGTCTGTTGTGATTGCTTGAAAAAAGGATCATTACAATGACTATCTTGTACAGAATTGCAACTGTAACACTTAATACGTTGACCTAAAAAGTAAAATAAAGAAAATAGACTATTTTATTTAAGTAAATAGAAACTGGAACTTGAAAATCCACTGACCGAATTAACATTTAGAATTTGAAGTTGATATTTATCACAGATTGACATCAGTTGGAGGAATATTTGAGATGTGAGAGCACTGGATAGCTCTTTCGGCCCACTCCTCAGCAGTGAGGACAACCATGAGATCGAACCCAGGACCAAATTCAAAAATCACCAAATAAACCACAAACCCTTAAATCCAATTGACCAAGTGCTGATTGGTGACTAGCTTCGAGAGATGCTTCGTGAAGTACCAATGAGAAGATGTGACCAAGGTATATGGGGACAGATACTCAACGATGCCATTGTGATGGTTGCGCTACGTCGTGAACTGACAGAAGTTGGAAATATTGACCACTGGCTCAATGGTAACATGCTGGCCACGTAACCTAAAGGTCTTTGGTTCAAACCCTGATGGGGTAGGGTCATGAATGCGCACTGCTGAGGAGGCCCATACTAGGACGAAAGAGCTGTCCAGTGTCCCCAGGTTTCGAATGCTCCTCCATCTGATGTCAGTTCACGGGGAATACTAACTTGAAAAGTCACTAAAATCCCTACAAACCTCCAAACCCATCCTACATATTTCATAATCTACACCGTTATTATAATCATAAGTACCTACATCATCAGCACTATTATTGTTATCACATAGTGTTTAATTCTCCTCAGGAGATATAGTTTTTGAAATATCAGATAGATTCGAATGTACGTCTTGGTGACTAGCGAAGAAATCTAGGATGTGCATTTGGTCCTATTTAGGACTCGTCAGCTGGATGTACCTGCACCGCAGTGAGTGATGTTTTTCCAGCTGAGGCTCAAACCCAGTACACATTATTTCAAGTGTCAAAGCGTTGTCCACTACGCCACTGGGGAACGATAGTCACCTCTTGTGCAATGGGTATCAGTTGTTGCTTACTCATTTGTAATTTCCTGTTGCTATATAGGGCTAAATTCTTCAACCTCGAAAAGAAATTGGCTGAAAAGAGTCACTTCGCTGAATATTTCGTTCCTAATATAAACTCGCTTGATAAGCAAATGGGATCAGGTTGTTGGAAATACATTGCACAAGTACATCACAACGTTCATATAAACTTTCTCCACCAATGATTATCATTATTATTATTATTAATATTAGTCCCGTGGGTTCCTAGACGAACACAAGGCTTCAGTAGCACGTCCCAACTTCACTCTCTTCTCTCCAATCTTTTCAATCTGGCTCAACAACTGCCCACCCATAAGCTTTCATTTCTTCCTCACATCATCTCCTCCATATCATCCTCGCGTCGGACGCCCAACTCGTCGTTTCCCATCTGAGTTCCACTCGACGGCCTGACCTGGCGCGTCATGTCCCCAGTCGATCTTCTCATTGTATGCCCAATTCATCTCCACTTTCTCACTCTGCATATTTGTTGAGTGACAGGTTCTTGCTTCGTTGGTTCGTTGCCAGCGAGCCAGAGTTCCTCCTTGCTTATTCTTACTATTCTGGCCATCTGATCTCATCTTCAGTATCGAGTGAGCGTAGGCAGTTGTTGATGAATCTTTGTAATTAGTCGGAAATCTCTTTCGTAACGCGCCAAGTCTCTGAACCATCACACAGAAGCACTGACTTGACTGACACTAGTGTTGAACATCTGGATGTTGTTCACGCATTATGCTGAGTGTAGTAGACCTCACACTGGTTTCAAATTGATGAACACCTGTCTTGCTGTCTTTCCGATTCTGGCTGGCTTTGACATCCTCATCTGTGTCGCTTGTAGTTGAAAAGATGTTGCCAGTGGAAGTGTGAGAGAGACAATTTGCTTTAGATTCCTCCTGTTGATGGTGATTGGTGTTTGTTGTTGTTGTTGTTGTTGTTGGTTGGGTATCTTTACCACCTCTATCTTCTCTATGTTCACCTGAACCAAGTCCCGTCTTCATTGTCTCTTCTGTCAACTTGTTGGTTTTTGCCTGTAGATTTTCAAGCTTGTGAGACATTAGACATAAATTCACCAAAATACTATGAGGAATACGTTGAGTTTTACAAAAAATGAAAGCCTTATTGACTTTGTACCTCAATTTCATCCGGATTTTTTAGAAATTCAAGAAGGGTACAATGAAATTATATCCTATTTTGCATTGTTTCAATCAACTGTTTCACTCCAATACTGAACATATGCATAAACATATTCATTAGAAATGTAAAATTTTACTTATTTCATCACATGATATCAGTAGATGAATAGGTTTACTCAATGGGTAATTAGTTATCTAATATAGTTTAAGGTTAATGAAGATTTGATTTTTAATGTAGTATTCAAAAACAATCTTTATAAACCTTAAAATACACTAGTGTATAGGGCTTATTAGTGATATGGCTTCGTGATGGATGTCCATAAGTTCTAACAAGAAACTGTAACACCTATGGGGTCAATCATTTGGATGTGAAGCGGATCCAAATTGAAGACGTTGGTAGATAATCACGCTACATTTCAAATGGATAAAAGTGGGAAACTTTGAACTACTGAACTCCGATCTAATGGTTGGATACTCAACGCACTCATCGTAAAACCTGAAATTTTCAAGTGTATACTGTTGAGGAGTCCTATACTAAGACAAAATAACTGTCCAATGCTCCCAGGTTTTCATTGGTTCCTCCAACTGATGTCAGTCTGTGATGAATACTGCCTTAAGAATAATATTAAACTATTTCTATTTCAATCATTAATTTGTGTCAATGGCGCAAATGTGATGAAAATAATACATATGCTTAGGTATTCGACAAATCTGTTTCATGTTTTAATATCCTAAAGACAGCCTTCATCGTAAACATAATATATTATGAGGAGAATACTGCTAGAAATACTTGAAAATAGGAAACGCTTACTATCCAACATATACTTACTTTTTACATCGCTTAAGACATTAAAATTTTCTGCTTTTTTAGTTTATATCACAATTAAAATGGTCTGCATATTTTATATTCATAGAATTGATACATGAAAGGCTACATATTCTCATTAGATGAATACGATTGTGCCCCTTTAATCGTGCATATATATTATCTTCAATGTAAAGAGGTAGAGTTTCAAAAGTATAGGGTAGAATTAGGTACCGAAGGTACCTCAGATCAGAATACGTCCACAAAGAGGTCACTGATGACAGAATTGAAAACAAAAGTGAAAGTAATCTCCCGCTAGTGAACTTCACCATAAGTTTACAACACAGACTTTTTATGTCGTTAGCCTAAAAAATTCTCAGGATACAAACATGTTTTTGAAAGACATCTCTGTGTAGTGATTATTTACAAAAGTAGTAATGTCTAGCGATTTTAATCCAACTTTGATATCAAAACATCTTGGTAAATTTAAGGACTTATAAGAAAAGGGGTGGTAATGTTGGTAATGATTGCAAAATGCCTAGGAGGGAATTCAAATCCTCTATAGTGTTGTACACTGAAGATTTTACTTAGAATTCTTAACAATATTGGAATTAGAGTGGCATTTAAACCCACAAACTAACTCAGAGAGAAACTTTGTAGGCTAAAATATCCAATAGAACCAATTAAGAAAAATAACCTAATCTGTCGAAAATTATGTAATGATTGTGAGGTCAAGTACAGACGTCAAAGTAGCCGACTGTAGTCAGTCTGAATAGCTGAGCACAAACGTTTAGTGAAATACAAAATGGTAGACCCTACTAATATAAATAATTTTGGAGTAAAAGTCAGCTATCGCTCATCATGCACTGATCCATAATCATACAATACAGTGGGATACGGTAACAATTCTTAAATTTAGTATAGCTAGGTGGAGAGAGATACAGATTACAGAACCTTTGTTCATTGAATCAATGCCAAACACATTCAACAAGAATGACTCCTCCTAAAAGGGCTGGTTACTGACAAAAAGTCAGCTCAAATATAGGAGACCTGTTTAGTAATTGGCAACTTGTGTCATCTGGGGTGCCAACTGGTAAATTATCAACTATCAATCAAAGAGTGAGTATACTGCACTGCAGTACGTACTCTCCTACTATACGGCTGTAAGATAGGGCCCCACAAAGTATAAGACGTGAAGTGATTACAGGGTATTGATCACACATTCTTCTATAACATTTCTCACATTTAGTGGAATCACTGTGTGAACAATGCTAAAGTCAGGTGAAGGGTATTAGGCAAGTTAAATGATGAGATTGTGAACCTCGGTCGACTGATCTCACTTGGATATAAACTGCGCATTTCAAGCCACCCCCTATCTCGATGTGCCGTGCAAGTGGAGGATGAATTATGTGGGAAGAGGGTTCAGAGTGGCCAGACCAAGATGTAGCACCACTTCATGAAGTCTGTGACTATTAGCCTCAGTCTTGTAGGGAGATATAGACTGCCTGATTGGGGTCTTCAAGATGACGAAGAGTCTTGACGACATGGTTCGAAACCGATCACAATGCCACAGATGTATTCACTCCTTGACATCTTTTAAAGCCTGAATATTCCCACCAACCTTTATCTTCAAATTGATCATTCTCTCACACCATTTTCATACTTTGATATCACTCTTTTTCTATCACCTGTTCTTCGTGTACTACTGTGAAGTGTATCAATTTGAATCGATGAACTTGTGTGCGATGTTCTACGTTGGTTTGGTCCCTCTACCTGTCTGGCAGGAATAACTCATGACATATTGCAGATATCCAACAAATTTCACTACCATTAAGTTAAGAGAACGAATAACCGTTGGATTATATACAAGAAGTTTGAAAGTTATATGATTGTTTTGATATGAATATGAGCAATAAATTCTGCTCGAAACATCATCCGGTAAATAACACTGCATCACTGTGTACGAAGTCAAATCAACAGTCTACCACAGTGCATTAAAGGATTTAATCAATGCAGCATGGTTTAATTGGACACTTTTGTACATGAATCAATAAGACACATGTAACCCAATTTATATCAATCTTCGGT